GGGACGTGGGCCTTTGGGGGACACTGCAGACCCAAACTTCAGCAGGAAGAGTGTTTGAACATTTCATGGGATGCGGACATAGTATTGTGTCGGCCTGCCTGGGCATGGCAGAGTCTCCGCCATGCTGAGGTCTTCCACCTGCCCTGCTGTACCACCCAGTCATAATGCCAAACAAAACACCTTTTAGTGCAGTGATATATGAATGGATCTGTTTGTAGCACTTCAGTAAGTCATGGATTTCTCATTGCTGAAGCTCCATATAGGTAGATTTCACCAAGTCTGTTTCACCAGCTTCACGTGGGTAGGGGTGACACAGCTGACCCCTTTATAAACCTTCTCTTACTCTAGCTACCCATAGAAATCAGTGTCCAGCTTCTGTGGATATGTGCTGAGTGTGTTTGCCTGTGGTAGGAAGCAGCTTTCATGATTCTCAAGGGCTCTGCATCTCACAGAAGCACCAGACCTGTTTTTTAGGCTCTGAAACCTGGTGGTTATTATATTCCTGGTGGTCAAGACTTGGCTGATTTTCTATTTAACCAGGAAAATGGGCTCAGACTGTGAGCTGTCTCCTGGAGCGACACTCTTGGAGAGGCTTGCTTAAAGGAAGATAGTGCAGAGAAAATCTCAAATTTACTTGTTAAGTGGCTTTATTAGATAGATAATTTTACATTTGAATCATAAGGTTAACATGTCTAGTTAAGGATTTTGTTTTTAAATTGGGGAGAGTTTTTTTTTCTTGCCACAGTAACTTGTTTTTAATTTTAATTTTTTAAAATTTATTCCAATTAGGTATATATGACAGCAGAATGCATTTTGATTCATTGTGCATAATTGCAGCACAACTTTTCATTTCTCTGGTTGTATGCGATGTAGTGTCGCACCATCTGTGTAGTCAATTGTACCTAGGGTAATGATGTCTATCTCATTCCACCATCTTTCCTGACCCCATGCCCCCTTCCCACCCTTTTGCCCAATCACAGTTCCTATGTTTTTCCCCTGCCTCCCACCCCCTTATGGATCAACATCCACTTATCAGAGAGAACATTCAGCCTTTCGTTTTTTGGGGATTGGCTTACTTCATTTAGCATGATATTCTCCAACTCCATCCGTTTACCTGCAAATGCCATAATTTTATTATTTTTTTAATGCTGAGTAATATTCATTGTGTATATGTACTCAGTTTCTTTATCCATTCATCTATTGAGGGGCATCTAGGTTGCTTCCACAGTGTAGCTCTTGTGAGTTGAGCTGCTATAAACATTGATGTGGCTGCGTTTCTATAGTATGCTGTTTTTAACACCATTGGGTATAGACTGAAGAGTGGGATAGCTGGGTCAAATGGTGGTTCCATTCCAAGTTTTCTAAGGACTTCTCCATACTGCTTTTTCCAGATTGTTTGCAAAAAATAAAAATAAAAAAATTTGCAGTCCCACCAGCAGTGTATGAGTGTGCCTTTCCCCCCACATCCTCGCCAAAACTTATTGTTGTCGTTTGTGTTCTTGTTGACTGCCATTCTGACTGGTGTGAGATGAAATCTTAGAGTAGTTTTGTTTGCATTTCCCTAATTGATAGAGATGTTGAACAGTTTTTCATATATTTGTTTGATTGATCATCTTTTGAGAAGTGACTGTTCAGCACCTTCGCCCATTTATTAATTGGGTTGTTTTTCTGGTGTTAAGTTTTTTGAATTCTTTATATATCCTGGAGATTAATGCTCTGATGTGCATGTGGTAGAAATTTGCTCCCAAAATGTAGGCTCTCTCTTCACCTCTTTGTTTCTTTTGCTAAGAGAAGGATTTTTAGTTTTAATCCATCCCATTTATTGATTCTTGATTTTATTTCTTGTGCTTTAGGAGTCTTGTTAAGGAACTCGGGGCCTAATCCCACGTGATGGAGATTTGAGCCTATTTTTTTCCTCTGTTAGGTGCAGGGTCTCCTCTGGTCTAATTCCTAGGTCCTTGATCCACTTCGAATTGAGTTTTGTGCATATTTATGAAAGATAGGGGTTCAGTTTCATTTTGCTGCACATGGCTTTCCAGTTTTCCCAGCACCATTTGTTGAAGAGGCTGTCTTTTCTCCAGTGTATGTTTTTGGCACCTTTGTGTAGTATGAGTTAACAGTATTTATGTGGGTTTGTCTCTGTCTTCTATGAAGACTACAGAACAATAAATGAAATTGAAGAAGACCTTAGAAGATGGAAAGATCTCACATACTCTTGGATAGGCAGAGTTAATATTGTCAAAATGGCCATACTATCCAAAGTGCTATACAGCTTCAACATGATTCCCATTAAAATCCCAACGTCATTCCTTATAAAAATAGAAAAAGCAATCACGAAATTCATGTGGAAAAATAAGAGACCCAGAATAGTCAAAGCAGTCCTTAGCAAGAAGAGTGAAGCAGGAAGCATCACAATGCCAGACCTTAAATTAATTATACTATAAAGCTATAGTAACAAAAATGGCATGGTATTGGCATCAACATAGGCATGTTAGTTTTTTTGATTTTAATTTTTTGTCTAGAAAGACCAGAATCTATAATCCCTGGAGATTTATAATCACTAATAGCAATATCATAGCTTTTTAAAAAAATTATTTATTTTTATTCCAGTTTGTTATATATGACAGTAGAATGCATTACAATTCATATTACACCTATAGGGCACAATTTTTTCATATCTCTGGTGGTACGCAAAGTATATTCACACCATTTGTGTCTTTATACATGTACTTTGGATAATGATGTCCGTCTCATCCCACCATCTTTTCCACCAATATCATAGCATTTAAAGACTACTGAAGAATATATCTAATTCTTAGGGATTTGATGAAAAATAACATGGTGGTTTTTAAAAAATTACCTGTCTTATTTTGGATAATTATTATATATTCAACTTGCAATTATAAAATCTAGGATTGTTCAGAATTAAATTTTTTTGAAATGATTCTTTTATCCTTTTACTAAGAACTTAGGCTTTTTAAAAATCCTGTCTGTGCTTGCTGTTAATGTTAGAGTCCTAGTCAAAATAGTGCTGCAAAATTTTTATACTCTTGATTATCTGTAGTGACTTATGGGGCTTTGAGAATGTTAAGAAATGGAATTTGAGACCTAGTTCTATAAGTTTCAAAATGTTTTTGTGGATTCATGTGGTAAAAAGGACAGATGGGAATTTTCTTCTTTATTCTTATACCAGTTGTAGAGTAGAGCTGTTAACATTTGCTTTTCAAAAAATGCCAACAACTGAGGAACAGCGCAGGGGTGAGAGGGGTCTACAGACTGGACGATCACCTTCACCATGTAATTCAGCCAGCAGTTCAAAGGTCGAATGTATAGTGTGTGTATGAATGTGTATGTATGCATGTCTCCCCAAACAAGCCGACCTGTTCTATCAGATGGATTTTACATAAAAATGCTTTCTTTTCTCAAATAGTTCTCTGCCTTTTACATTTTCTTCTCATTTCTGTCTCTTGCCTCTCATCCCAATTCCAGATCTTTATTTCTTAGAAAATATTTTTAACTCACAGACTAAGCATCGGATGAAATCACTGACTTCTTTACTTAAAATGACTTTCCTTAAAATCTGAACTTCATACTTGAAGTCGGCTTTATCTCCTGTTCCATTGGGCAGCACTGTGTTAGTGTTCACATCTTCCTGATGCCACTTCTTGTCTCCCTTTAAGTCTTTGTCTTAGATAATTTTGTAGCATTAACAAAATGGCATAGTTGGAGAATTTTCTCAATTGGAAGTTCCATAATATGAATATTTTAAATTGGTTATAAAATGCTTATTTTTGTTCATGATTTAAATGAAGAAAAGGTAACCCTTACAGTAGTTTTCTTTTGTTTTAACCTTCTAACCTTTTTTAAAAAATGTTTATTTTTTAGTTATAGGTGGGCACAATATCTTTATTTTATTTTTATGTGGTGCTGAGGATTGAACCCAGTGCCTCACGCATGGTAGGCCAGTGCTCTGCTGCTCAGCCCCAGCCCCAGCCCTTTCTAATCTTTTCTTGTTTGTTTTTTCTTGGTTCTGGGGATCCAGGGCCTCTTGCTTGGCAGGCTCTGCCACTGAACTACCTGCCTCTCTTTTTAAAACATCACTTATAACTAACTGATTCTTACTAAAATCATTCCCGATTGTGTTTTCACAGTTTAGAGTGTGAGGTTATTGCTTCCCATTGGAACAGTTTTTTAAGCTGATCTTCTGATCCCAAATTAACAAGTAATTAATTTTGCTGTCTAAATTAATCCACACAATGCCTTTGACTTTTCTTTAAGAGCACAGTATCTGTAATCTTTCCACCTTACCTCCCTTGGAAGTGGGTGTGCTGATTTAACTCAGACAGGGCTGGGTCGGGGTTGAGGAGGAGAAGCAAGAACGTTGTTGGAGGTGGAGTGGGGCCTTCAGATGTAGAGTTTTGCAGTGGGTGCCTACTAAAGTAAATTTGAAAGATTGGCACTGGTTTGAGGACCATGGGGATTGAACTCGGGGGCACCTGACTGCTGAACCACACCCCTAGCCCTATTTTGTATTTTATTTAGAGACAAGAGTCTCTCTGAGTTGCTTAGTGCCTCGCTTTTTGCTGAGGCTGGCTTTGAACTTGTGATCCTCCTGCCTCAGCCTCCTGAGCTGCTGGGATTACAGGTATGCACCACCATGCCTGCCCTGATATTTTCATTATGTGGTAAGGACATATTATAACTATGCAGTTGTGGGCTTATTTCATAGATTGAAGCTTCCAAAAGACTTTCAAAAAATAGAAATAATTTATGTTCACTGTAGGTTTGTAAATAGTGCTACGAAGTGAAGAAAACAGATTTGTAAGATCTGTTTTATCTTGAGAATAAGATAAAACACCTGGAGAAAGGTGCTCTTGGCATTTGGTAACATTTATATGTGTACAGACATTAATTCGTAAATTAGTTATATTTATTAAGTTTTGGATATTGCTTTTGTTGTTGTGAATTCAACAAATTTTTTCCCCCTTTAATCCTCACAGGCCCCTTCACAGATGTAGTCACTACGAATCTTAAACTCCGAAATCCGTCCGATAGGAAGGTGTGTTTCAAAGTGAAGACTACGGCACCTCGGCGGTACTGTGTGCGGCCCAACAGTGGGATCATTGACCCAGGGTCCACTGTGACTGTTTCAGGTGGGAATCTCATCCTGAAGTCAAGGCAGTTGTGAATGTTGACATTTTATGATTGTGTCAAATTTGCTTTATCTAATGGTGTTTGATCTGGAGGGACGGACACAGTTTTTAAAGATGTTCTGTTACCTTCCTGTATGCAGGTTGCCACAGAAAACTTCTCACCTTGTGTGTGCGGGGGTGTGAGGCTAACTTGTCATAATTGCCAGTTTAAAACTTTGTGTCTGGATTCCTGCACCTCACCACTGCATTGCTGCCCTTGTTTTGTCTTTGAAAAATGACACCGTTTTGGTAACTAGATCACTACATAGTACACATTTTGAGCAGCTGTGGAAGTGTTCTAATTCTTTTGCTTAAAATTGTGCAGTGCCTCTTTTTTGCCTTGTTGTATTCAGTGACATGAGTCTTTACGCCTGATATTGTGTTAACAATGTCTTGGAAATTTTATTTTTATTACTCTTTTTTACTGTTTCAAAGTGTACTTGGTTCTCCCCAGATAGAGGCCCCTTCCTCCTGCTGTGGAGTATGTACTGGTGCTGTGGTTAACACCTCTGTGGATTGTTTCTTTTCTTCCCAAGGTTGTGCTCCTTGACTGCCTTCTAGGCAGCTGGGAAACGGAGAATCATGTCTTCCTGGTGGGGAGCCCCTTAGGCCTCACACGATCCGAGATTGTCCTCTACTTTTTCTTGTGTAGCAGTGCTCAGTACCCACTGTGTCGTAGATGGCCCGTGGATTTTTACCCTCTCCCACATGAGCACCTCCAGGGTCATAGCCTAGAGGTGTGTAAATCCTTATGAGTATTCCTAAGATGCTGAGAATTCTCTACTGATTTTCTAGTTTTTAAGCCCACAGCAGATTAAAAATAGCAAGTTATACCAAGAATGAGAGCCTGGAGCAGACCCACTAAGACCCTTTTAGAAGTAGAACCTTACTGCAAGGCAATTATGGGCAGTCTTGGTGATACCAGACCCTCAAGGCACAACCTGGAGGAGGCTCTGCAGCTGATGTTCCTAGCCCCTGGGTTGAGGTGGCCTGGGAGAAGTGTTTTCAGCTGTGCTTGCTCAGGCAAACCCAGAGCTCTTGGGAAAGTGTGTGGGGAGTATGGAAGAGGAACATACGTGTTCTGCACATTGCTGTCTACATCTGTAAGCTGTCAGCTGCATTGGGAGAAGGTGGAATTATTTCAGTCCATGTGGTTAAAAATGGTTCTTTGGTGCAGCGAATCCTTATGTATCCCTAAAACTATTGCTTTGAGGGTTTCATATTGCTGAAGTCTTACTATATTAATGTTTCTTTATGAGAGTTGATACTACTTCCAGAGTATTTTCTTCATACCTGGATTGTGAAAAGCTCTAAACTAGTCATGGCTGCACTGGTTTCTAATTCCTCCCCTCCAGCTAGCAGTTAGGCTTTTCTAGGGCTGAGTGTGGAGTCTTTCCACCAGTCCTTCATACCTCTGCTTCCTCTGGCAGCCACCTGCACACCTTATGCCACATGTTCATTTCATTTTCCCCTTTCTGTCCCTGTTACACATAGTTTTGTGGATTTGCTCTTCTGATCTGTACACACTTACGTGTATTTTTGAGATTGATTTCTTTTTATCATGTGGTCTGCACTTCTTTTAAAGAGTGTACATTGTAAAGTTATACCAAGTTTTACATTTTCTTTGTATCTGTGGACTTGTGGTTCCTAGTGATGAGCCTGTAGTGATGGGTTGGTGAAGTACTGGTGTAAACTGAGGCATCTATCTGGTGCATTTTCTGCTGCTATGGATTTGGCCCTTAAAAAGAATCTGAACCATGAAGGGAGTTAATGGGCTTCACAGACAAACTTTATAGATAAAGTTGTCTTATATAATAGATATTTCTTCCATTTGTCTTTTTGAAGATACTGCTGTAGATTTTAGAAACAATCTAAGGATTAAGGGAAAAATTTACATGATACCCTACACATATATTTTTATAATTGTTGATTTCTTCTTTTTTTTATTCTAGTTCTGGGGATTGATCCCAGGACCTTATACATGCTAGGCAAGTGCTCTCCCACTGAGCTACACCCCCAGCCCTTGTTTATTCTTTGTGATTTCTTATTTTGGATTTATAAGTTTGGCATGACTTAAAACCACTTGGAACCTCTGAGCACCCTTATAGCCTATAGATAATCATAAGTGCTTAAAAAAATGAGAATATTATTTGTTGGGACTCCAGAATAAGTTCTATACTTCAAGAGCTTCTGATTTTCTTTTGTACCTTGTTTTCTTAGAATCAGATTTAAACAAATAGGTAGGCTCTTTCTTGAGTAACTGTGTATTTAAAATCCATTTAAGAAATATTAGTTATGTTAAAACAATATATGAAGGTGAGCTTTAAAGTCACTGAGTATTTCTCCCGTATCTCAAGTTGGACAACTATCCCAGTTGAGATAATTATCGAATACTGAAATGAAGCCTAATCCATATTATAAGTAGTTCTGATAAACAATTACTAGATTTAATATATCTTACAAACATAATAGCAGTTGATGTTAGCAAAGTTTTGAAAATATCACAAACTTCAGTGTAGAGGGGTCAGTTATAAGTCATTGTTATTTGTTTATTTGCAGGTTATCAAAGAATTAGCAAATCAGAAAAGCAGACAGTTTAAATATAATTGGAATCCATACAGTAGCTTCTAGATGCCAAGTGTAAACAGTGCAGCAGGAGGGCTCTTGGCCCGTCTCCTGCACCTTGGCCTCTTGCTGAGGCACTGGGGGGAGTGGTGAACAGGCCAAGGCAGAAGGCAGAGTAATGTGTCCTTTTTTCTTCAGTGATGCTGCAGCCCTTTGACTATGATCCCAATGAAAAGAGTAAACATAAGTTCATGGTGCAGACGATTTTTGCTCCACCAAACACTTCAGATATGGAAGCTGTGGTAAGTCTAAAAGAAGTTCAACAGAATTTATTTTGGCGAATGTAGTTTTATATTGTAGGTTTTGTGTAGCTGTCAATAGGGAAACCTGATTTTTAAAATAGTAAATGTGTAAGTCTGTCTGTTACAGAAAATCCTGGTTAGTCTCAGGGAAGAATTTCGAAGTAATATTTCTTAGCCTGTAATTGCTGGTGGTGTCAGTGTGATTTTTTACCTGACAGTGATGGTAGGCCTGGGATCACCTAAGAGTTCCGTGAGGTTGGCGGGTACGTAGTGCAGCAGTGTTGCTGTCTTCTCTGCAGAGAGTCGTGTGCTCTTCGGCACTCTAGGCAGCCTTACTGGTTCTTTAGTTGTCCCTTAGGTAGCACCTGTCTGCTGAGCCCTGAGCTCTTTTGTCTCATGTCTGGTTTTGTTTGTTTTCAGTGGAAAGAGGCAAAACCCGATGAATTAATGGATTCTAAATTGAGATGTGTTTTTGAAATGCCGAGTGAAAACGACAAGTTGGTAAGTAGTTAAGTGTAAGAAAATTGGACCTTATTGACCTTTGTTAGGTTCTTTGTTTTTTTTTTGCTTCTGTTTTTGACCTTTAGAGTATATGTGCTATGGCTAGTCCACTTAATGAAACTTAGTGCTTTTTTAAGTTCAAACAAGGTGATATGCTTTTTTCATAACCTTTTGCTCATCCAAGAAAGAAAGAAATACTCACCTCTTTGGTCCAAGGTGCAGAATGGGGACAACTTATTTAATTCTAAGTTTTGGCCACTTAAACCACTTCTAGTTCTCTTTTAGAATGAGATGCATACATATATAAGTATATTTAGGGAATGGATATAAGCTGCTTTTTGGCAGCTACATTTTGGAAGTCTTGGGATAAAGAATTTAATTTATATGGATACATATTTTTGCAGGGTTTGGCCTTTCCCAAATACTGTGTTCACTTTTGTTTTTGGTCAAAATCGATGTGATTTTATTTATTTATTTTTTAAACATTCCTTTAGTTGTTGATGGACCTTTATTTATTTATATGTGGTGCTGAGACTTGAACCCAGTGCCACACATATTAGGGAAGCGCTGTACCACTGAGCCACGACCTCAGCCCATGATTTTATTCTTTAGTAAATAATTTTTTGTTGCCTTTTGATGAGTATGAGGAAAATAGATTATTGAGGTCTGAGTTGGTAGAGTGTTCAGGAAGATCAAAATCAAACCATTAGTCTGTGAATGTGTATAGCTGTTTTGAAAAACTCAGAGTTAGAAAAACACCTAGAAAAGCAGGCAGAATTTACTACAGCGAGCCCCTGTGAACCTGTTACCATCTCAAATAATTACTTGTTCGTGCTTGATCTTATTTAATTAAACCCTACTACTTTCCATCACTTGATTGGTTCTAAGGCAAATCATAATTTCATCTGTAACTATTTTAATGCATATTTTTCAAAAGATTTTTTATAAGGATAAAAGTGTTTTAACATGAAGACCATTATTATGCCTTTAAAATTTGTTTCATGAATATCAAACTGTCCAGGAAGCATTCACATTTTTCTCATACCAGATTTTTTTTGCAGTTTGTTTGAATCGAAGTAAACGTAAAGTCTCAATGGTATTATGGATGAGGTGTGTCTTACGTCTTGTCATCTTGAGGTCCCTCCCTTTTTCTAATAAGGGAACTTGTTTGCCTCTAGACTTTTCCCCACATTTGGTCTTTGCTGTTGCATCCTCACAGCCTCATTTGACTTTGTCTGTCCTTGGCGTTTCCTAATTGGAACTTGGGTCTGGTGCCTGATGAAATCCAGCTTTGTTGTGCTGAGGGTAGGACTGGGCAGGACCTGAAGGCGCTGTTCTCGCTAGGAGGCACAGCACCACAGCCTCTCCCTCTGGTGAGAGTGGTTCTTATCCAGCATCCCCCCAGCGCAGGCAGCATGCCAACACTGGTAGGTGGGGAGCCTTGCTGCATGCATCTGTGTAGATGCTGCTCAGTTTCATACAGTGCACTGGATAATGGCTGTGACAAGGATTTGCCCAAAACATCAGTAATATTGAAATTGTATTAGTTCATTTAAGGTTCTTTACAAGTGATGTTTTGTTCCTACTTGATGTACTAAGAATTCTTATAGTGAGAAACTAGTGCTCATCTAACATTTGGTGATTGAATGATTTGAGTTTATAGGGGCAGTATATTCTCTTACTTACAGGTTTAAAAAGGTGAGTCGATTGGCAAGCCTCCCTGTGGTGATGCAGTCCTCCTCTTCCTCACTTATACTTTCTATACTGTTAAAACCATGGGTTTAAATAGAGGAAGGTTTGGATTCCTTTCTGTTGTTGTTGGCTCTCAGACTGGTTGGGAGGAGGTTTTGCAAGTAGATCTTTGGTCCCTTTGACAACTGCTAGTCTTTGGTACTTTCTTGGTGTCTAGCATGGCAGGGTCTTTCCAGGCCTAGACCTGAGCCACCTGTTCCTTCAAGGAGCTCAGGGCCCTCTAAGTGCAAGATGGCACATCTAGGGTGAGATTGATTTTGAATTTTATTGGCATTTTTATCAAACCATTCTTCTGACCAAGATGAGAGGGAGACCCGTTTGTCATTTGAAGGTACTCTTTCACATGGCAGAGTTTTAGTGGTAAAATCATGTCAACACATGACGATGTGGGTCCTTTCCTTTCTTTAATGATTGCATTTTGTGGTTAGGATATGTTTTTGAAGATTTTTGAATAATTCAGAATATGAAAATTGTATTACTGATTCTAAGAAGAGTGGGTAGGTATTTGTATGAGCCAGCTGAAGTAGTGTTTTGATACAGTAGCACTGTAGATATGGGTTATGACTCATGGCTCGTTAGCCTTGCTCTTTTGATTTTTGATGGACATTCTTTAATTATTGAAACTCACTTTCAGTTTTTTCATATAAAATGAGACATACCACTTTCAGATTTGTCAAATAAAAATGTGTGAACATCATGTCTATATTTTATACAGGCTTGAGATGACCTTCATTGATGAGTGCTTATGTTAAGAAGAAGAGGGGATTAAATATACCTTTTTTTGTTTTTGTTTTCTTTCTTTTTGACAGTAGTGGGCATCAAACCTCAGGGCCTTGTGTGTGTGTGCTGTGCAAGTACTGTACCACTTGAGCTACATCCCCAGACCACGGCTGTGTTTTTATATGGCAGTTTTCCCCAAAACATGAGCTTGGCAGAGTTTTATGGTCAATTGAGTTTGAAAAAGTACTTCAAAGACCATGGCTACCAGAAAGGGATCATGTTGTGTATTTGAGTAATATAGGCTCTGAGAGGGTCTGCAGTAAGTAAATATATGCAGACCAGCATTTAACAATTTAATATAACATAAGTAACTTTTGGATTATCCAGTGTTCAGAAAAATGCACTTTGAATATATTATTGCTACTTAAACTCATTCTTGTTGTGCTGCTGACCTTCAGATTCTGCAAGAAATGTTAATTCCTTAGAAATGTATGTATGTTCAGGACAGCCCGGCACAAGCCAGTTCTGTATTTTGGATGATGGTAGGACTTTCTGTCAAGTCATCAAGTCATCTTATCCTTTATGGAAAATGTGAAACCGAAGCACCGAATCTGAAGTCTTCATGACAGACTGTGTTTATGAGAAAGCTCTTGTTTACTTGTTCATAATGACGAATAAAAATGAGACTTTTTTTAATCTATAAAATTACATGGAAAACATCTCCGCCACGTTACGTTATGTGTAATTAGACTGTGTTGATAACTTCTAGTTCATAATTGCCAATATGTGAGATTGATTAAACTTCTTAAAGTTGTATTTGACATTATTGATTTCTTTCTAGCTGTCATAGATATGATTACTTAATATCTCCCCTCTGTGTATATTTAGCCTAGGTTTAGTATGAAATTTATCTTTAGAAAAGAAGGTTGGGCATTATTGGATAGTATGAGGTCTAGTCAGTTTTCTTCGGGTAAATTGATAAAGTGCTCTACAAAGTTGAATTCTGACTTAGGAAACTTGATTAAAGATCACATTTCCTTACTCAAAGGATATACATTTCTAAATGTGAGAGATTGATGGAAATGTAATAAAAGAATAGAGGACAGAATGTGCTTTTTCGTTTGTAGTTATGATTGTAACAGCAAATTCTTTGAGATCTTTTGACTCTTTTGTAAGTTAACTTAGCCCTTCTGGGGTTGAAACCCAGGTGTGGTGCTAGGCAAGGGCTCAGCCACTGATTGATGCGCCTGGCCCTGTTTCTGTCTTGTGAAATATGTCAGCACTGCTCATCTTGGCTTGAGCAGGTGGCTGGTGACATCGTGGCCTGATGTATGAGTCTTGGTGGCATGTGTGATACACATTCAGCCCTGTTCATTGCTGGCCGCAATGGACAAGCCCATGTTCAGTTCGTAACCCTGTGCATGCACATTGTGAAATGATGGCCACAGTCAAGCTAATGTGTCAGCTTGCACAGTTACCAATTCTTTTTTTGGTCATTTATTTTGTAAAGAGTCTGTTATCAGAATTTGATCTTCATAGTCAAGAATTTGGATATTTTGGAGAGCAGATAGTTTGTAGTAGTAGCTGGATCAGTTGTTGATGCTTTTTTCCTCAAACGTGGCACAGGTCTAGGTGATTTTAGTTCAGTGTGTCCCACTCCTTCACATTACTGCCCCACTAGATTCTTGCCCTCCCAGTAAGTCTGCAGGCCTTTGAGTGTGGTCATGAAAGTATGACACACTGTTTTGAGAGTCATGATCTTTTTAGGTGTGCTGAGAGTTCTTGGGCATTTACACACTCTGAAAACAATGGGAAGAGAGTTGTGTTTTATTTCTCCAGAGATTTTAGGACATTGAATATTTAAATAAGAAAATGATTGAATTTTTGTGATCATCTTGTAAGGTATGAAAGGAGCCAGCCTTAGAAGTGGAGTGGTTGGATCTGTGTTTTCATTTTAACATTGTAAGAAATTATGTGTGACAAAATAGCTTTTATTTGAACCATCCATCATTACAGTGTGAGTTTCTTTTTGGGAAATGGCTAATTAGGATCATAGATAGGATGGCCAAGGAGACCCAAGAGCACTTTTGTTTTAGAATAAAATGAGTTAGGATTGTAACTTTCTCTGGACAACAGGTATACATTACTACTATCCTCAAGTACCCTCGGGGGCATGGTACCTGGTGCTAGGGAATGGCAGGTATGTGACTAAGTGTGTTGCAGTTCACCAGGGACCGAGGTGGCCAGTGCTAGCACTGGAGTTCAGCACGCTCCTGGGGGTGGACAACTGGAGGGAAGCAGGGGATACTTGGGTGTGGAATGTTCTGTAGAATGGGGTTCTTGGAACCATGGGCTTCATCTAATTTTTGACAGTTTTATATCATGTAATGCCTAATGTCGAATTAATGGTAGGTTTTCCCCCAGGATTTAATGTGAAATATTTATAACCTGTGTAGTGTTTTGTGTCCAAGAATTTAAAAAAAAATTTTGTGGTCTTAACTTCACTTGGCAATTTCCAGATTTCTTTA